TGCTATCTGCAATATTTCATATTGATGTGATAGAGTAATTTAAACATAAAGCAATGCACATTTCAACATGTTTTCACAGTTTTCCATTAAAAGTATGTTGAACAAGTGTTATTCCTCTCCATTATATTAGCAGAATACTCTTTAAGGAAAGTTTCACATTGTTTTTTATGTTACCATGTTATAAATGATTATATTACATTATTATTCTTCATTTTCAGAAGCATCTGCAATCTGTTACTTTCTGAACAGTTTGCAGTCTACAATGTGTGCATTAGGGGACAGAGTTAAGGTTGCAATACACACTAGGTCCAAAATTGTTGAAATTTTCTGTCATTAAATCCTGTTTTTATTAAGTAGCTTTGAAAACTTAAAAATTCCTAATTCATCAGTGAGGTAAGACAGACAGATAGACTATGGCTGTAACTTTAACTTTTCATCAGAGCATATTATCCAGGAAACACACTGGAATTATGGTTATTGTGGACAGAAGAGCATGTAGGAACTCATAGCTCACATTTCAGTTTAAGGGGAGAAAGAGTTGCAGTTGCTGAAAGACTAGATGAAGCAGATAACTGAGAAATGGCTGAGTGCAGAAGACAATTGATCCACCGCACCTAACAAAATTGATGACTTAACTACAAAAAGAATAAAAGAATTCCTCCTTAATAAGGTGGGTGATCTGGAAAATTTCTAATGGGAAAATATCTGGGTTCTCAGAAGAGAAAGGAGGCTGGATGTAATGAATATCTTGCATACTTTGATATTACAGACTTGTACTTAAGAGTTATCAGGCTGCTTATTTGAAATTAAATGAGCACTTTTGATACCTCTGCTCCAGGGTCTTAATTTGTGATTGGTGCCTAGGCTGCAGTACATCAGATCAAGACTTGCATATTCCACCACTGCAGAATGTGTTGCAGAACTCACTCTTTGCTGTTGAATTGCACGCCAAAATCTGAGGGTTTTTCTTTGTAAATAGTATGTTTCTATTGTTCACGGCAGTCCAGAGGTATATAAAAATGCAAAACGAGGAGTGTTGCTGGCCTGAGCCTGAGACAACAGTCCTGAGAGGTGTGAATCATCTCATTCATTGTGCCTAGAGCCCCAAAGAATCCACGACTTTGCAGCTGTGGAAACTTGCTATTTCTGGAAGTGCTACAGCAGTCAGCTTTTCTTTTTTGCTGTAGCCAGGTTCCTAAAATGTTGCTTTCTGTCTCCCTGCTTTTCCAGGAGCTGTTTGCCTCTTCATGCTTTTTTTTGGCTTTCCCCGCAAAGGCCAAGTAACAGATGTACAAGGCATGCGCCCTGTCAGAGGGGCAATTCTACCTGCAACCGTGCGGTGAAACTGGGAGGGATTTGAGCAAGGTGGGCTGCGTGGAAATCAGCACGGCAGCCACAACCTCTGTTGCTGGGAAGGCAGGTTCCTGAAGCACGTTCCAACCTTTGTTCTCGTATCAGGGGAAAGGAGGTGCTAAGGTATGCTGCTGGGCTGAAGAGTCAGAGATTGCACTCAGCTGTCTGTACAGCATTGTGTAAAAGAAAGGAGCTGAGATAGTTATGGATGAATTGGTTGTATTTAGTCATAGCCTCACACATATTCTGGGTTTTCTATGCAGTTGAAGGGGCAGTGGGTGTTGCTTTGCAATTTGTTCCCACCGTGCTACACAATACACAGGGCACTGATCATGACGTTGCTTCTAACGTACAAGGACAAGGAGGTAATGTTGCTGTGTTTTCTCAGCATCAGGCCCGACCTGCAGATGCAGCAAGACATCTGTAAGGACAGGATGGCAGAGACTGAGCTTGTCATGTGCTCTTCTTTCGCTCTGTAGCTCAGATCTCGATTCCAGTGTAAATTCACTCAACTTTTTACTTGCTAGTTAAGTATTTTAGCCTGTCACATCTTCCCTTTATAAACCCGGACTGAAAAATCTGTAACAGATGCTATTGTTCTCTCTGTGGAACTGGGGAAGTTCTCTAAGACCAAGCATGGCTTGAGGATCACTGTTGTTTTACAATTATAGATCACAATTTCACTTTGTAGCATTTACAGTGCAGCATTATGGTGATGAGCACAGTGGAAAAGTCTATAAATAAATAAAATGCTTTTAGCATTTTAGTATCTTTTGTTTTTGCAATGAGGAAGATGGAAATTTCCTGGTAGAACTCAGTGTAATGGTTTTGTTTATTAAAGATATGGATCCATTAACATGTAGCTAGGATCAGAAAAATGCTTGTTTGCCTGAGACTGGCACCTGCTTTCTCAACATACCATCTCCCTAGGTGTCTTCGGCACATATCTGATTACTTTAATGACTAAAACAAGGTTTTACTCCTGATAGCACAACTTAGTGCAAGAGACGTGCAAGATGGATTTTATTTGCCCAGTACATACATATGACTGCAGGTTAATTTCTGAGACTACCGTTTTATTTATAAGGGAAGATATAATAACGTTGGTTTTAATGTACTATCATGTGCAAGGATTTGCAAATTCAACAGGGGCCGGGTACCTAACTACCAAAGGACACATCTATGCTTAGGGGGAAAGGTTTGTTTGTAACATGTTAGATCGTGATCATTTGTAAAAATCACATCTTTTTCCTAGTAAAGACAAGAGCTTTGAAAATCTCAGGCCTATCTTTTTACTTACGGCATTGAAGAGCTCTTTAGTGCAAGGATCTGCACTGGTACCCTGTGAAGAAGGTTACATATGGCATTGGTGGGAAGGGGATTGTACACATAGAGTGAGGGTAAAGCAGAGAGGATAGGGTGAGAAGGGTGACTTTAACATGGGAAAAAAAGAAAAGGCAGGGGCTGCAAATTGAAGATGAAGTACATATAGATGTGCATATAAAAACTAATTACAGAATAATAGCATGCTACCTGGTTCAGTGTCAGACTTTTGCACCTGGGAAAAATATGCACTGTAAAAAGTATTTGGATTACTTATAAGTCTGGTTGGCAAATGATATTTTAATACAGAAGATATGGAGGAAATATACAGTTTAAGTTGTATCTGGAAAGAAAAGCCAGGCTAGGGAGTAGGTTCCCAGTAAGTGCTATGAACATCAACTCATTATTCACCATATTACTAGGGTTTCATTTTACTTCTCTTGGGACAGCATCACATCATTCACAAGCCACCGGCCAAGATATAAGTTACATCAGGATATCTTTACTGTAAATACCCTCAGCTTGTACTACTTGGCCTTATTTTGGAGAAAAGTAGTTGATTACTTACCTACAATTAATAATATGGAGCCTATTTCAAAGGGCTTTTAAAAAAAAATAATGTTTTACACATATGCAATATTGCAATGAACAAATATAAAATGAAATTCACACACATCTTAGCTGGTGGCCAAGAGCTGTGTTTCAATATGCCGGAAATCCAAACATCCTCCCACTCTTACAGCCTTGCTGACAGATACACGATGACGACTTCTTGAAAAAGCTACATGCAAAATCAGTGGAAAAAACACAGAAATGTGCTTATTCTGGGAATCTCATTTCATTTACAAAGTACTAAGCTCAAGGCTCATTTTCAGTCTGAAAATCATATTTACATCT